ACCATCGAAACCAAATTTCAAAGCAATGATTTATTTTCGTCTCAATGGTCAATATCAAAGCTTTCTGAACCACGAATCAATTTTTAACTCGTTTTTTTCCCCCATTGCTACCTTAAATTAAGTAGTATAAATGTCAAAATATAGCAAAGTGGGTACAATATTGGAATTTAATTTTGCTGAAGGGATCACTGAAAATGAAATCCAGGGAACATTTATTTTTTCAATTTACAATATTTGGTCCAAAAAAAATGTACATTAAAATTAAAATATGACCTGTTATTTATGTGCGCTACCAATAAAGCAAATACAGTACACATTTTTTACAAATCAATAAAAATAAAAACATTTATCATTTTCAGCAAAAGTATATTATAACATAGTTGAACTCTTTGACCTTGCCCTTTCTTATATAATATAATTCCCTTTATCATAGTTTTTTTCAATATAAATATACATTGTCATAATTAATTTTGAATACAAACAAGTTTTGGGGTTGAACCAACAGTGGGGAATCAGTCTACCGAATGTCCTTAAAAGATGTAAATATCTTACAAAAATTGGTGCCTTATTTGTTTAATTATTTTAAGGAACATAATTTCCAGCTGTATTCAAAGTAATTCAGATATTTTAGAATAAAAACAATTGTCTCATTGCAAAAAAAAAGTGCTGCATTTAGATGTGAATAGATTCATAAAACATGCAAGATAACAGAAAAATTTAGCTGGCTTTAGTCCAAGTATTTTGTACAGGTGTCTGCCAAAAATTAATGATTCACTGAGACAAATATGAACTGCCTCATTGTGTGACTACTGTATTATATGAAAAGTAAAAAAAAAACACCCTTTATGAATAGCTATCATGTTGCAAGCTCTGCTTTGTATGCAAATCAACTTAAATAGTTGGTGTCCAGTGGAGGGAGAAGTCAACAGTACTGTTGCCTCCTGAGAATCTACATCTTCAAACACTGCAATCTTTGAAGTGGGTTTTTAAACTAGTATTATAAAAACTATCATTCTGTTCTA